ACAGCTCCTGACCCGTCATTTCCCGCGGAGACGTACGGCTCAGGATTAGCGGGTGTATGGAGTGGTCAGCGTTACGGCCCTGTGAGTGGTTAAGGGTTGGGGTAGTAGGAAAATGTATCTATGTTAGAACTTGTTGCATTAATTATTATGATAAAGTATTGATTTACCTTGATGATCGCCGGGTCGTAGATGTATTTGGTTTCATTGGTGGTGATGGTAGTTGCGGTGGTGAACATTGTGTCAGGTGCTATTATAAATGTAGTTTAAAGTAACTTGATTAATAATTGTGTTATAAATATACGGAACAATCTATAAAAATACTCATATTTAAAAATTATTTTAATATTTAACCGTACTTTTAGGCATTACTTTTGGCGCTGCGGTTAATAACCGAGAATTAACGGTAATAATACGGTTATGACGGCCACAATCGGCAGCCAATTGTTTTTGTAAATACTTTACAAACACTCGTCCACTCATTGAATGATTACTAAATTTAATACTTTACTAAAAGCAAATATGTTTATATACCATCTGTGTCAAAATATCATCATCATTGTCACGTGTAGCTTTTTATTATCAGCTACTGTAGTATAAATGAATGTTTACTAAAATTTTAATTTCACATTTCAGCCTAGAATTGCACTAAAACATAAACATTTTAGATACATTAAATACATAGTAAAATCTCCCGATAAACAATATGGTAATTTTTTTTGTACACTTTTACGTCATAATAAATGTCATTATTATTGGCAGAAAATAATTGCCATACAAACTAATCGTAATGTTTGCTGATATTTTGGCGCTTGTTCATATTAAATAATCAATATAACACAGACTTAATTCCTTAGTTCATTATTACGTCACATTTCACTATTATGATTGGCATTTAGCATTTTGTTACATGCATTCAATATATGACAAATTGAAAACATCAAATGCAAGCATAATTAATATCATAAGTTATTACCATTTTAATTTATGTTAAAACACACGCTATGCTAAGATTATTATTTTACATAAAAATAAGTCTAACAATAAATATTACAAAAACATATTTGTAATAAATTTAAAATAAAATATTTGTTTGATTTACATTGCAAATTCTTAATGATCATGATCGAGATGGATTTGGTGCACTTCTGTGGCACTTTTTCATAGACGATGGACCTTATGTTGACATTTAGCCCATACTTTCTTATAGAAAGCCCGTAATGTATTTCAAGTATTATTTAAAGCAAATCCAGGTATGAATTGTAATATTTGATAATACACTACATGTTAATTATGATGATAAATTAAATTATTATATTTTATATAAATACTAAACAGTTTTTACAACTAATTATCAAAACAATTAAATTATTATTTAAATAATATATTATACAGTATAGTTAGGCCAAGCCTAGCACCCCATAATCTACATTTACATTGTTTTACACAAAGCGCATGTGCGAACACCAGAGTGTATTATACAGTCGACATGCGCTTTGTGTAAAACAATGTAAATGTAGATTATGGGGTG